TCAGGTGGCAGATGGCCTCACGAAACCGCCAACTAAAGCTGCGTTTGAAGTTTTTCGAGCCAAAATGTGTGTCTTGCCTTGTTGAAGCAGGGGGATAAAAGTAGAGGGAATATTAGAGTAATCAGTTAAGCAGTTAAGGTTGGTTAAAAGCTGTTAGCAGGATGTTAAGTCTGTTAGCAGGGAGTTAAGATAGTTATAGATGTCTTGTAAAACTGATATAAAGCAATGTAATCGTTGTACTTGAATGTTAAGAAAAAGTTCAATGTTCTTCATCTCTTCAAGCTAATCCTAGCTTTCTAACAGTTTCTAGTTTAGTGTAATGGTTAGACATTAGAAGTAGTTGCAATATATATTTTACTAACTTCCATCGTTAAGAAAATAACACGTGTCATCATTTTATTAGATATATTAAGTAATTACATAAAAATTATTTGTTGGTAAGCAATTGGGTTAGTTCACATCGTAATCAGCTTGATATTGTTTAAGCAAGGTCTTGAGTTTGAATCTTTATGTTTATAAAAAATCCATGTTGTGACACTCACCTATCAAAGCCAGGTGTGCGACGTGGGTCGGTTCTGATTAGTCAAGACGAAAACTTGGAATCGGGAGGGCAACTAAATAATCCATATTATTGGTTGTTGAAGAAGAACTAGGTTGAGCGGCTCTTGTAAAAGATGGCTAAAGAGTCCTGTTGCGTCCATCGATAAGGAACAATGTGCATGTATACTTGTTATGAAACATTTGGAATATGAAGAATACGTAGTTTGACGAGGCCGTCATGCAGGCGCTAGGATAATACATGACAACGCGAGGTTATTGCCTGGCCGATCTAAAAGTTTTCTGTAGAGTGAGGTCCCAAAAGTAGAAATTAACAAGGTGGTTTGCCAGAGGTCGTTGCATGGAGAATTTTTTATAATATATTGGAGCAAACCAAAGATCTTCACCGTCCAGGTAGTGAGGGACGTTGAACATACTGGAAATAGTATGCGAGAGGGCGACTAAAGTCGTTTGATCCATAATGATTCACCTTATCCACCGCAGCCAAATGTGATGATGAACATGGCACTATACTAATAAGGATTATGTTGATGAAGAAACCAACTATAAGCGATAGTGATCAAGGCACAACCATAAGTCATGGAGCAACAAATAAAACCGACCACCACCATCTTCGTCATAACTCCTGGAAACCTAAAGTCATTGATTAGTGTTGCTCTTCCCCACAGCAACAGGGTGTTCAAGATTGGACCATGCTTGTTGAGGAAGAGAGATCCCAACGAACGAGCTAAAGAGATTCTTTAGAACCGTCGTAGATGGAAGGGGGAAAGGGGAATTTTCGTGACTAAAAGGAATGAAGTAGGAAAACTAGAGGTTTAAGCAGTGTCCGTCGATGTCGAGACCATACGTAAATTCTCCGGAGTACAAAATTGTATAGAGACTTGGACCAAGTTTTGTTGGAAAAATAATGGATTAGTTAAATGATATTGATGTTATTTATAATAAGTCATAAGTTATGTCACTTACTGAATAAATTTATTAAATAAGTTATGTCACTTAGTGAATAGACTTATTTTTTGAGTTTAAAGTTACATTCATTTAATTATGTCTATTAGTTTTTCAATAATTCTCTTCATGAAAAGTCAAGTTTCTTCATTAAATGATATTAATCTTTTAATTCATTTTTTCTCCAATTTAGACACAACTTTGGAATAGGAAAGCACTTAAAAAAAACTTTTTAAATTAATTCTTTTTGGTGATATAGAAATGCAAGATTGTGTTCGACTGATTATTATTGGTGTGCTTAATGTTGTGATCGTTTGTTTTTGTATTCTGAGAGACCACCGTCCAACATTACTCAAAATACTGAGGAAAGAATAAATATGTCTTAAGGAAACTGTTTATAGAAGTCTCAACAAAAAAATCTTCTTATGTTTATCCGACTTTGCTCATTCGATTCCGTATCTACATCCGAGTAAACAATTTTATTTCTCTATTTTAATTTTATATTAATTTTTACTTCATTTTATTCAAAAATAATTTTATATTAATTTTATTTCTCATATTAACTTTTTTTATACATGGAGGGGTTGTACGAAGTAGGCAGCATGTGTTGTGGGATCCAAGAAAACTGCAAACATTTGAATCATCAGTTTACTTTGTATAGTACTAAATTGTCTACTTTCTATTGTCAAATTTGTTCTTCAATTATCATCTCTTTTTATATGCATAGTCTTTTTGCTCTCATGTTCTGCTACTGCTATTCATTCTTCACGTGTCAACAAACATATAACATAGAAAGTACTAGCAAAAATCAGGTGGCAATCAATTATACGTTGTTATTCCTTGAGAATTCGAGTTCGAGTATTATAAATGTTAGGGGTGTGACCATTTAATATTAAAAGGTTAAAAGTTTTCTTTGAACAAATATTACCTTATACTTTTCTTAGATTAATCAAAGAAAAAAAAGCATAGAACGTACTAAAATTCAAGCAAGAGACACATATATATTGATAAATGTTTTGTTTAGTTAAATTATTCATAAATGTTTTGTTTGTTTAATCACTAAATTTTTTTTGTTAACTTTATATTAACTATACTGTTAAAAATACTTTTTAATATTATATGATGATATGTGTTAATATCATTGATAATTAAAAATTAATCTATTTTTAAGATCAAAATAACCTGTGTACTTAATGCTTGAGAATAAATATAAAATTATTAATTAGATTAAAAAACCTGATTAAATGATTATTATATGCAATTATAAAAATAAAAAGTTTTAAAGAAAAAAATATTGAATTTGATTATAAATATAAAAAAAATACATCAAACATGATTTAATCTAAATATAGTTTTTTTCAATTATATAATAACTATTTAATTTGGTGCAGTAATTAAGTATCATCTTAAATCTTAAGTTTGACCCCTCTAGATTCAATTTATATTTTCTTAGTCTTGTATTAATTATAATTTAACCTAAATAAAATCTTTGCCCGTCATGAAATATATATCTAACTTGGTTCAACTATTAGATGTTGCTTCAATTTACACTTAAGTCCCAAGTTTGATATCATCTCATCCAACTTTTAAATCTTCACCAATCAAATTTCTATAAATAATTTGAATGGATATTTACACTAAGTCCCAAGTTTGAATGGATATTGTCACCAATTTTAATGTTAAAATTTTTTTAGGGTAAACTATGCATTTAGTCACCCAACTATCACTTTGATTTCATTTTGATCACCCAACTATTCTTTTTCAAAATCATGTCTAATGTTATATTTTGATTTTTTTTGTCACTCACCATTAAAAAAACATAACTATTGATGTAACCTCTTTTTTTTGTTTTTTCAATGATGTCATGATATTATCTTATGATGACAAGTTATAATCATCATTAATTTTTAAAACGATGGGTGACCAAAACGTAACATTGGTTATAATTTTGAAAAAATAATTATATGACCAAGATGGGAACAAAGTGATAATTGACTGAATAAATACTTAGTTTACCCTTGTTTTAAAATAATAAAAAACTTTTTACCTACGATTATGTATCAAGTGTTGAATGAAAAAGGGAAAATTAATCGCGGCTCTTTCGTCTCCGCCCTCTTCTCCACCGGCGAACCCGATTCCATCCACCGCGTCAGCGGCTCCCCGTTTGGTGTCGCCCTGTTCCTTTTCCTAATCTTGTTCTTGCTCTACAATCGTGTTTCCATCTTCGGCGGCGGCGACGATTCCGACGATTAACTTCTCCGATCTATCGAAGACTTCTTTTTTGTTTTTATTTTGTACACAGTACGTAGATTTTAATATTTTTTTTCTCCTTGTAGTACGATTCTTGTAATTTTACGTGAATACCCAGGTGATCAAAAGGAATTGGCTTTAGCAATTGAGGGCATTATTGTCATTTGAGTTTTAATTATTCGCCGTACTGGTTTGTTTTGTATATCGTTGTCTGTTTTCTGTCCGACAGTTAATCAGCGGTGAGTGGGCTGGTTATCACGGAGGCGGCATGGTGGCTAGGAAGGTGGTGCAGCCGTGGAACACAGTTTGGTTTTTCTGCTGTAGCTCCTTTATGGACTGACTTCTCCGTTTCCCAATTTGTTTATTGCTTTGGATCTTGGTTTCCACAAAACGGGCACGTGGGCACATGTTTTTCCTTTTTCAAAGGACGAGCCCTCCTTTTTTTTAATGCACCAAAAGAATTTAAATTCGTTTATCATTTAATATTTTAATTTTTTTTTACGAATTAAACCACCTCAACTGTGAAAGGATTTATTATTATATCTTAAAATTTTATATTTAAATATAGCGTATGCGGGATATGAGATTTTGTCGTTAAAAGATAAATTTTTTAAACAGACTTTATATTTATCTTATATTTATCGAAAAATATTTTAATATTTTTAGATACAGTAACACTTTTAAGATGATGCGGTGAATTTTTAAATTTCAAAAAAAATTATGAATTTATTTCAAATTGTTTGTATTTATAACTTTTTATTTAAATAAGTCATTTTAAAATAAATTTTAGTCAATTAGAATTTCTTCAGAATAAAAATATTTATAAAAGAAATTTCATGTTTTTGAAACCAAAAGAAAATCATCTTACGCTGAAAATGCGTATCATTACATATAAATATTGTTTGTACTTGACTCATTTATGGCAAAGTAATTATTTTATCCTCCATACTTCAAAATCTTTAAAATTCAGTCCAAATCTTAAATTTGACGCTTTTTCACCAAAGACAAAGCATTATACCTCAATTAGTCCAATATTATAATCTAAATTTTAATTATAGAATTCAATTTAAGCAAAAAAAATATTATAAAATGTTCCAAACCTACACTCGAAAACTTATCTAAAGCACTAAAAAATTAGTCCAAATTTAGTTCATGAACAAATCAAATCATAGATAGTAAGTTTAAACAATAATATCACATGTTTTGTTACAAAATTCTTTGCTATTTACATTTTAACTAGTGGCTCAATTTTCATCATCAATTCTTCTCCTCAAGGATTCCAGTACATTCAAGGGACGATCAGTTTTAGCAGAGCTCCCTCCCTGGTTAGACTTGAGTTTTGGCATACTAATGGAGTTGAGTGGTGGTGTCATTGCTCCCTTGTTCACATCCCTTAGTATGGACCGCGCGGTGGCTTCCGCGGCCGCATCCGCCATCGCTGATGCCACTTTCGAATAACTCAACAACTTCTGATTCACTTTGTTTTTGGGGTGAGTTTCTGTTGCGGCTTTTGGAACACAAGGCGGTGTAGAGTGATTTACGCTTTTGTTTTGCATGCTTGCAACTGCTTCTGCAGCTGTTGTTCGAGCCTTTACTGATTCATACTTCTGAATGTCATATATGAGCTCCTTTTGAAGCTGTTTATCTGCGACCAGCATGTCATCGATCTCGTTCTTGTAGTCCTTGAGAAGGACTCGCAGGCACCCCATGAGGGAACCTGTAAGAGGGTTGTTCTTGCTTTCTAGTAGCCTTTTGAGCTCTATAAAGATGGGGATGGTGTTTTGGATAAGACCCTTTTTCACTGCCTGTGTTATAGCCCTCCCTTTGGCAGTAGACGCGGATGCACTGTTATCCCCACCTTCTTCCTCTACCTCTGCTGTATCCGATGCAGTTCCACGATGAGTTGAGGCTCGGATCTCTTTGCAGGCAAGAATTTGGTAAGAAATGCTTGTAATTATCTGCAATCATACGAAATATGCAACATTTCTCGTCGGACATACCTGGAGAACAGCTTGGCCAGTTATATCATTTATATTGAGCATGCCATCCGATGCAGCAGCTAGAATTTCAGCACATAACTTTGCAAAGGTGGCCAAAAGGTGCTCTGGTGCCATTTGTTTCAGCAAGCAGAGATAGATCCGCATCCGTTTAGTCCTTGACCTCTCATCATTACCCCTGGAAATTTATAACATAGAATTGATCAAGGAAGAAAACAGTGAATAGATCATAAACATGTGCCTCAATTATAGAATTGATTTTTCCAGTGTCTACATGACGAACACAACTCACGAATACCTGATGGAGAAAAGTTGACTCTCCGTCTGTGAATTCTTGGAATCATTAAGTCCGTTGTGTGCGCAGCAGTCATTCAGCACATAAATGGCTTCGACGAAACTGTTGTAAGCTAGAAGTGGAGCCTTGGCTGGAAGAAAAACATACACAAAAGTCAATCCAACAAACATGTATTCCAAAAGTGAGCAAAACTTCAACAATTTATAATTATAGAATTGTCATAATAGCTCCTTTACCTTTCAAAATATTGCCAAAGAGAAAATCAGCAAGTTGTCTTATTTTTTCGGATTCATCAACAAGACATAGAAGGAACCGAAGAAATAGCACTCCCCTCCACTTCACATAGTCTCTCTGGATTTAGAAACAAAATTACAGCATTCGATAGGCTATTAAGGCAATATCACATGTTAAACCAGTAATGAAAACTTACTTGTAATAATCTTGAGAGTAATATAAAAGTCTGCCGTCTGACAAGTTCGCATGGATCACGGAGACACTTGGTTATCTTAGCTATATAACTGTATATTACAAGAATTGTTCATTACACCAGTTATCAGTCTCATAGAGAAGGATTCTTTGCTACATTTTCCCCCTTTTAATTAGTTGCTTTGAAGAAACTAATCCCAACTAGGCTCATTTCTATTAAGTTCCCGGGAACTTACCAATCAACCAAAGCAGTATAGCGAACACAAAAATCCGCCATCATCACTACAAGATTATTGCGAAGGGCTGCACAATCACTCTTTTCAAGTTCCTGTAGTTTGAAGTGCACGGTTAACATCGTTATCAAATTTTATTTGGAATTGACGACATTGAGAAATATTGTAGAAATAACTGGAAAACAGTAGGGAGGGAAGAAATGCATACAGTTAAGTGCATAATCTTTGATGCTTAGAAATAACTTTGGAACCTTCTATGTATTCTAAGAACCGATGCTATAGGCTATGCATATAAATGTATTGCCATGCAAGTTGTGATGAATATGAATGAACGAAAAAGCGTTCGTTTTGAAGAATCAAGAATTGCAAAATAGTAATGGAAAATCATACAAAAAACATACAGAGCAGGACTAGAAAAGCCATTGGGTTGATGACTAGACCTGCACAAAGAGAGGAATGTAACTTTTGGCAAGCTTCCCGTCAGCAAGGCAAATTTTTCCCAATGTCAGCCATGCTTGAATGTACAAAGTAGGGGTCGTCTGCTTCAAAGATACCTTAGGCCCTGGTAACTTATTTAACTTCGGATCAGAATTCCCTGAAGTTACAACTGTGTATAAAAGTGGAACAATGGAGCTCACATCAGCACTAGGACAGACAACAACTAAAGACCCAACAGTATAAACCGCGGTGACTGCTTTTGACAATAGTCTGGACGCACTTGCTGCTTGCTTCCCTTTTCTGCTCCCACTTGGCGGTGTAAAGAAACTATTACCGGTATTTGGTTCTTTGTTATCAGAAATGTACTTTTCTAAAATTTCATATGCTTTAGAGAGAAGCTTCTGTCCCCATCTCATGACAAGCTGATCGGCCTCCTCAGGATTCAACGACTTCAGCTTGCACAATGTTCTGAGAGCTTTTACATGAGCATTAACCTGTCATATAACCGTGTTGGTTGTGCATATGATGTATTATAGCTGGGTACATTCAAACAAGTTTATTTTGCAATAGGAAGGAAAATAAACAAACGATTACTCCGTTTCAAGTTTGTCAATGCGATAAATACCTCTGTGGAATGCATGTTGAACTTTTCAACTCTTTTAAGCAAGTTGTGAGCTAAATCTGCAGCAGGTTCAGCAGGCAATTCAATGGAAACATTTGAGATGGTTTGCAAGAGGAAAACACGATCTCTTGCCCATGCAACTGAATTGGATTCTATGCTTTCTTCATGTTCATATCCATTTCCTTGCAAACTTGGGCTTTGAAACTTGCCTTTTGTTCCATGCTTATCTAGGAGCTGCCAATGGTGATGAAGGAATTCCCAGTCAACAGCTTTCAAAAGATATACCGACACTTCCGACAGAAGAAACCAAGCACCAGCTGGGGCTGTCCACTTCTCAATTGGCATGGAATGACTCAACCAGATCGATTCAGATGTCTTTATGATGTTTTGAAGAGCAAGAGCAACCTTGGGCTTCAATCGTTTCTTTTTCCCAAGGCTTGTGCAAATCTTCTTCACCCATGGAGTCACCTCGCCATTGCAGATACCTTTCAAAAGAATCAATATCCCTCCAGGGAATAATAATTCCATCTCCCTCTCTAAACTCTTTGCTGTCACACATGAATCAGACAAAACAGATCCCTTCTTGGGTGAGCAAGCAGATCCAGCTCTAGACACCCGGTCCAAAACCAATTCCAAGAACAAGGTCTCACATTCTTCTTGAATGCTAGATTCGTTATCTGTTATTAAACGTGGAACAGAATGTAGCCACTCAGTAGTCACACTTTCATCTGAAAATGTTCTGAAGGCCTGCAAAAAATTATGCAAAAAAAAAAATCAACCTGGGATGGAAAATTGCTTGATGAAATATCCACTGGTGTAAACTAATTCAACATCAAAATATGCATTGACTTACGAATAAGCATCGAATCATCACAAAACTAACTGAAAATTGTAATGTTCGTAACAAGTTAATAAAGAAACATATTTGAGAAGTGCAAACATGTAATATACAAAATCAACCTGGGACTGGGAAGTGCATAACAAAGAACATATCCACCCTGGTCATCTAACTCAACATGCATTGACTTATGATTATGATTAAGCATCAAGTCGTCACAAAACTAATTAGACTTGGTAATGCGCATGATAAGTGAATAAAGAAGCATATTTGAGAAGTGCATGCATGTTATAATGTGCGAAAGCAATCTGGAATTTAGAAATACATAGCAAAGAAGATATCCACTTTAAGTAAACTAATTCAACACTGTACCACGCATTGACTTATGATGAAGCATCAAATCATCCCAAAACGAATTGAGTATTGTAATGTACATGATAATTGTAATAAAGAAATAAATTTCAACAAGAAAACTAGATTAACTGAACATTGAACTATGATTAAGTATCAAACTATCAAAACACTAAGTGAACATTGTAATGTACCTAACAAGTGAAGAAAGAAAGAAATTTCAGCAAGAAACTAGATTAACTAGATCAATGACCTATGATTAAGCACCAAATCATCAAAAAAAAAAACTAATTGAACATTATAATGTACATGATAAGCAGATAAAGAAACGTATCTGAACAAGGAAACTAGACTAAGTACAAAAGTAAAATTAACCTCAGAAAGGGCAGAAATGGCAGCTTTCCGTATGCTAACCAGTGGATCTGAACAAGCCATACCCATAGTTTTGAGCAGGATTCCATCAAAAGAACCATCTAAAAGGGATATCAACTTAGTAACCAAAAGCAGTGCAGCCTTCCTTACAGCTGCCTTCTCATCCATACACCTATCCCTCACAAGATCATTCATTCCACACTGTGGCGGCCTCTCCTCTCCGCCTTCAGATAATCCCATTACTTCCTTCAAAATACTTTTACTCCTATCATCACTAAACAAAAACCCAACAACTTGTGCTAAGCTTGAGAGGGCTCGAGCACGAATTCCAGCACTCAAATCCGAACATCTCATAATCAAAGCTTTCAAACACTTTATCCCCCAATAATCTCCTGTTTTAACTTCTGAATCAACCCCAAAAGGATCCCTTAATGACATTAACATCATTGAAATAAGATCTACACCTAACAGCCTAAGATTAGCCTTCCCATGAGTCATCTTCAAGACATAGTCCACATATCCTATTTGATCCTCAAAGTCCATCACTTTAACAATCTCCATTATTGAATCCACAGCCAGAGCTCGCGGCTCGGCCTTATCAGGTGCCTTTTGAACCAAATACCTAGGGAAGTTAACGACAGCTTTCTTAACACCATCACTCTCGTTTCCCAATTCTATCATCCTTTGCGTCACAAACTCCAATGCAAAACTTCTTGCTTGCGATTTAACCATCAATATCAATGGTGATAATGCTTTCAAGACCTCAGCTGAAGTATTAGCCATCTCTCCATGTTCAGACCTCAACACTCCACTCAAAACCGACGAACACAAACCCATTAACCGATTAAAACTACCTGAATTCCCTATCTTTTCCACTGCCATCAAAGGAATTTCACATACAGTTTGTACCAACGACTTCAAACTATCAGGAAACCTATCCAAATGAATCAAACCCAAAACGGAAACCAACATTTCAAACACATTAAAGACTTCTTTAATATCAGAACGATCACTTACTTCCTCATTACAATCTCCCGAACTTCTAACGTTACCCCGTGCTCCACGGCCCTTCCCCCCACACTTTCTCTTCTTATTCGACGGCGCGTTGGGAGGGGGAGATTCCTCAGGTTGGGCCGAAGCACGGTTTTTGAAGGCGCGGCGAAGGGAACGGAGGAGAGAAAGGAAGGAAATGGGAGTGAATAGAGTGAAGACAGGGGAATTTGGGGAAAGAAGAAGAGAGAGGTAAACTTTAGAAGCTAAAAGATAATGGGAAGGGGAGGAATCCATTGTAAAAGATAAGAGGTTGGTGAGTGAAGAAGGAGAGAGGGCTTTGGAAGAGAGGTCATCGAAGAATTGGGAGATGAAATCTGGGTCGTTGGTGGATAAGAGGGATTGAAGATCTAAAAGAGTAGATGGAGAAATGAGTGGAGATTGGGTTTGATAGATCTCTTCAAGCTCTGTGAGGATTCTTGCTATGGTCTCTTCCATGGCTGAAACTCTCTGGAAATTTTCTCTGTTAGGGGTAAAATGGTTTGCCGGTGATTATCGTTGAAAACTTTGAAAATGTTTCAGTTCCCGCTTAAAGTGCTCCTTCATAACAAAATTCAAAGGGAATAAGATTTAGGATAAACTACAACATTATGTGCTGAACTTTACTATGTTTCCTATTTCATTCACTGTACTTTAATTTTTTTCAATTTACTCACTTAATTTTCGAATTGCTCTTGTTTTGGTCACTGAATTATTTTATAATTGTTTTGATATGATATGGCATATTTTATTATTATTTAAATATAAAAATAATTTAAAATATAAAATAAAGATATATGGTGGTAATCCATTATTCGTCGGCGTTGGACGTCATCGTTGACGACCATATTTCATTGGACGCTTTGCCTCGACTCCCTGAGTCCAAATTTGACTTCCATTTTATCGGAACATGCTCTGAAGTCCACGAATGTGAGATCAAAAATGAGAAAACCGAAATGTTTCAATTTAGATTCACGGGTTTTGGGACATTTTTTGGTGAAGCAACCACCAAATTGGGACTCAGCATGTCAAAGCAAGTCTCTTGGTTCAATTTTGGATCAAACGGTTGTCGGTTTCGAAGGCTAACGGTGGTCGATAGTGACGAGAATAGACCGTGGTGATGCTACAAATGGTGAAGTAAAAGTACTATTTTATTATTATTTTTTAAATATTTTTATATTTTAATAATAAAAAAATACTACGTCATAGATAATAATAATAAAATAATTTGTAGTGACCAAAATAGGAGTAATTTGAAAGTTTAGTGAGTAACTTAAAAACATTGAAAGTATAGTGAGTGAAAGAAGAGAGATAGTAAAGTGTAGTGAAGAATGATATAGTTTATCCTAATATTTAAAATTTTCAAATTAATTAATTTAAAATAAATTTGATATTTAAAATTATTAAAAAAACATGTTTACATCTATATAAATTTATATTTAGATTAAATCATTAAATTGTAAAAAATATTTTAATTTTTTTTTCCAATTTTACAAAATATTTATAAAAGAAACAATGAAAATATTTTATTGATTGCGCGAACAATAAATTGATCCAACAAAATAAAGTATTAGGTCCCTTAAATAAAATCAGAAAATATTGTTAATCATTAGATAAAATGTTAATCCGAAAAAAATAAAATTAATTGAATTGAACAAAAATAAAATAAAGATGATAAGAAATTGTTTAATCGTATGTAGTCATGGAATCAAATTAACAGAGCCGCTAAGACATATTTACATAGTCTCTTTAAGATAGATTTAGTCATGCATATGATACTGGAGAAACGTTGATTGATTGTCTCCTAATTTACAACAATGATATGAGCAGAGTAATAGCATGATTGCAGGGCTCAACGGACTATAACCCCGTTTTCTTCTATCACCAAACATTTGAAGGTAGAGAAAATGTGCCAAAGTCTAACCTTGTAAGTTTAGACAGTTTAAATAGGAGATTCACACTGAAAAACTATTGGAAAGTTCGAATAAATGAGCATAAAATATATACAATTAATGCATAATATTCTATTTTCCCATTAATGCATATTATTTTTTTCTTGTGACAAATTCTAACCTCTCGTTGTCTGTTGATAGCTTCTGGGATCAGGGAGATTATCGCCATGTTCTCATTTGCTTGGGATTGCTTATTGATGATATTTATCGCATTCGCACGATCCGTCTCCACCTCGACTCTCCTAAATCCAAGATTCCAGGCATGCAAAAGAATGCCGTCTATGGCCCAAATTTCAGCATTCAAGGCATTACAAAAGCCCCCCTGCGAATCTCGGATCACCCTTCCACAGCCCACATCATACGCTTGTACCCACAAACATGTCGAGTTAAAATTCACTCTAATTTACACCCTATCGTTTGCATACGACGCAAAATATTGTATTGTACATTCTACAACATTCAAGTTGATTCATGTAAATAAACACTTCTCACGCTTGGTATCCCACCAATGTGGGATATAAACTTTCTAATTTTTTTAAGACAATTCACAAGTAGCTTACATTGAGTATCAATTTCTCATTCATCACTCAATTATTTTGAGCATATGATATACCATTATAAATGTCTCACGAAATATAATAAAAAATCACAATTTTATGATTTAAATCTCTACTTCTACTCATTAAAAATGTATCTAAATTTCAAAATATATATTTTTCCAACATTAACAAATTTATAAATCTGAAAAACATTTTTTTCCTTTGTCAACTGATCCAAAAGAATACAGCGTTAGGTCTTTAAACAAAATTAATAAGTATTATTAACATAATAAAATTTGAAGTATTGTTAATATTTGAGAAGTGCATGTATGTTATAATGTACGAAAGCATAGGAAACATTTTGTTGTATTATTTTGTGTGTTTTAGTTGAATGGGTTTAAATATTTTCTAAAAACTTTTTATTCATTAAGAGTTAGTATTATTTTTTAAAAGTGTTCAGAAAGTGTTGTTATAAATTGTTTTTGAAAATTTGAATTTAAGATTATAATGTTTGATGCTAACAATCTCTAGAGCGTGTGGTTAAAAACTTTCTGTTGACACCTCATTCTCCCCCCCCCCCGGTTGTGAGTACAATACCGATTAGTATCATTGTCAAAAAGTATTTTTAAATCAATGACTTAATTCGATAAAAATAAAATCTTTTAAAAATTTCTTACAAATTGTTTTATGTTTTTTAATATTTTAGACGAACCGTCCGTTTAAGGGGTAGAAATTTTTTTAAAAGGGTTAATTTGTAAAGGGTCAAAGTGTAATTTTACAAATTTTTAATTTACAAAATTTAAGATGTTTAATTACATTTTTATTATTTTAGTTGAAGCATGAGTAGTTGGGTAGCTTTCCATCAAGTCCTTAGGAAATATCCTTTACGCCATGCTTCAAATAAGCTCAGCCTTGGCATTCAATAAGCCTTCAAAATGTAACTCTTCATGCCAACGTATATAAAATACAACTTGTTAACATATCTAGTGATGGATCGAAAGGGATGATCAAGGACAAATATAAAATTTTATGTTAGAGGGGTGAATTTTTAAAATTTAGGAAAGAACAAAATTATAAAATTATAGGGGCGAAAACTGATTTTCAATAGAAAAATACATGTAAAAATATAAAATATATGATAATTTTAAATTTTCAAACTCTTATATTTTAATTTTTTTTATCTTCTATTGATAATTTATTTTTGTCACCTAAAATTTTATAAATTTGTATCGTATAATATTATAAATTCACCCCAAATATAAAAGTATACATTCATTCCTAAACATATTAAAAGTTGAATAAATTAACATGTAAAAATAATATAATAAATATTAAAATATACAAATTATCAAATCTAAAATTACACACTATTACATCAAATTGATCATTTAGTCTCACCAGTTGCTTTTGTGCTGCCATACTTCAACAAATTTGTAGAGAAAAATAAATATTTTTTAAATTAAATAATAATTAATTTAATTAGTAAAGAAATCAAAACCTAAACATTAATTTAAAAAAAGTAATCTAAAAATTATCTACAAAATAGAACAATAATATAATAATTTAAACAACAACAAAATTTACCTTCTTCGAATCTTCTATTCTCCTTTAAACAGTTTCTCTCTGAAATAATTTCTCTCCTCCTTTTCTTCTTTTCCCCATGCATCTAAACTCCCACCCCCTATAACACACGTATATATCCTAAGCATTCAATCCACTATTATTGTTTTGCCCAATTATTATTGTCCTGTCATACATTCAATCCCCGTGAATGATACAGAGCTGCAACAGCTTCAGCCTAGTCTCTCCTCGCTTCAGTCTCTACTAAATGAATGAAGGATGTCTGGTCATGCCATGGCGAGACGCATTGTCTTCCTGGCATCTCTCACGTGAAGACCGAAGACACACTACCTTCCATGCGTTTCGCCTGTGAAGAACTGAATACGCATTGCCTTTGCTGCATCTCCCCTGCGTCTTGACCAAGTACTATAGCAATCATCCTATTTGACGAAATAATAGTTGGGGCACATTATCTAAGCTATTTTTTTCAAGGCCATTATCTGAGCAATTTTGCCATTTAGTAGGATATAAATAAGAGCAAATTACACGTTTAGTATCCTATCATTTTTTTTCTATTTTGATTACTTAATTATTTTTTAAATCATGCCTAACATTTAGTTTTAGTTTCATTTTGGTCACTCGTCGTTAAAAAATTAACAGTGATATTGACATGTCACATCATCATTGAAAAAAATATTATATTCGTAGTTCTGTTAATTTTTTTAATGATTTTGGAAAAAAATAAAATTAAAACGTAACATTATGTATGATTTAAAAAAATAGTTGAATGACTAAAACGAAACAAAATTGATAGTTAAAATACTAAACACTTAGTTTACCCTATAGATAGTTGTGCATCCATAGATATCCTAAATTAGCTAATGTAGTTGGAGGAACTGATTTGTCAACTCAAAACACTAGGCTGGTGAATTCTAGTAACCATAACACAAATGTTGGAAATCGACAATATGATCCAGAGCCTCCGGCTGATGTGAATATGAATGCAATTCTTGATGTAGGCTGTCAGTAACATTCATTTTTGTTAAATTATACATTAAGGGCTCTAAGGATTTTCTTCATTCAATGTATTCTTTTTGTCTGTTGCAGGAAAAAGAAGCTCTAATCGCAGCACACAGAAAAGAAGTTGAGGACACAATGGAGATTGTTCGTGAAGTAAACTTTCACTTATTTACAGGAACTCGGATTCATTATACTGAACCCATGCCTAGAAGCTGGGGAGAGATTATCATACTCTTTCTCAACCATTGTTCTTGTTTTACATATATATTTCAGGAAATGAAGCTTTTGGCAGAAGTGGACCAACCAGGCAGCCTCGTAGACAATTATGTGACCCAGTTAAGCTTTGTTCTTTCACGCAAAGCCTCCGGTCTGGTAAGCCTTCAATCCCGCCTTGCCAGGTACCAGCATCGACTAAAAGAGCAGGAAT